TAGTTTGCCATGTTTTCTCCCAGGGTATCTTCCTGATGCAGGGATTGAACCCGTGTCTCTTACGTCTGCTTCGTTGGGAGGCAGGCTCTTTACCACTAGCGCCATCTGGGAAGTGTGCAGGTATTAATAAAGTGGGCTATAAAATGTATACATTCTGATCACTTATTTTTTTATACTTCTAGCTAAATGTCAGGATGCTGATAATTCCCATGAATCTGGAATACTTGTAAGTAATAGGGAGAAATACATGTTGCTTCCAATGTGTCATGAATCTTCACTGACTGACCAAAAACTAAAAATGACTTCTCAAAAAAAAAGAGTCAGAATATTAACATAGTAAATTGGGAACGTACGTTGGGGTCCAGGGCAGAATTTAATGGTTACAAAGCAAAATCCTGTCCACTTTCTCGGAGTGATTCATTCCTAAGGTCTGGATTTTCTCCTCAGGTCTGTCATACCAAAAATACATTCAACTGAAGGTTAAAATATTTTGCTATGATAAAACTTCTTTTCACTATCTGTAATACAATAAAACTGGTAAGCTTTTTCTAAATTACAATTAATATTTTTCAAACTCATGATACATAGGAAAAGATAGGAACCTAAATTTGAGCCAGTGTTGGAAATATAACTACCAAATTTATAATTATATCCTCTTCATTTAAAGGAGGAAGAAAATTTGTGAAAGATATTTGAAATGCATCCTTCCTTTTCCTCTTCCATTATCTCCACAAAGAATTCTGTACCTTTGACACTAAAACAAAACAAAGCAAGAACAAAACAAGAACACCTGAAGATGTTGGAACTTGAAAGGCTATCAAGATTTCCACCATAAAAGTAAAGAGAATTTAAGGCAGAAGACAAGAAAATTTGCAGAGGGAAAAATGAAAGGAGAAAGTTAAATCTAAGAGGACTTGACTGGATTTTGAGAAGAGATTCTAGAGATGTTTTGTAAGAGGTTTTGTAAGAGATTTTGAGAATACGTAAATGTTGGTAGCCTGCTGTGTTAGTTAGTACCATAGACCAGGTAGCTTAGACTATTATTTCTCACAGTTCTGGAATCTGGAAGTCTGAAATCAGGGTGATGGCCTGATTGTATTTTGGTGAGAATCCTTTTCAAGGTTGCAGAGTGCTGACTTCCTGTTAGATCCCCTCCTGGGTGAGAGTGGAAATAGGAAGCAAACTCTCCTGTAAGTTTCATAGGGACAGTGATCCCACTTCACCCTCATGATCTCATCTAATCCTAATTATCTCCCAAAGCCCCCAACTCCTAATACTATTGCACTGGGGGTGGGTAGGGTTTCAACATATGGATTTTGGGGTCACCGACATTCACTCCATAACACCTGTATATTTGGGAGTTGATAAAATAATAGAAGTAAGTGAAAGCAGTGTTAGCAGAAATTGAGAATGCAAAATCTGATAGTTAAGAGAGAGAATTAGTCTAGAGGTTCATGATTTGGCATCTGATTAGAAATGGGGAAGAGGGTGCTTGAACTTTCTCTTGTCTTGAAATATCCTCCCCACTGAAATTCCCTTTCATACTCTCTTCTCAGTCTTTAGATTTAAGCTCAGTCATCATTTCCCCAGGTCATCGATCCCTCAGGAAATTTCATCCAGGTGACACAGTCTTAAATGCTGTCACAGAATCCCACCAATGTCCTTGGGTCTAGTCACATCCTTATTTCATGTATCTGTCCCATTAGACAGTAAGCTACCTGAGATCAGAGCCTGTTTGTGTTCTGCTCAATGCCTCACATACTGGCTGGTATACACAGTGCAACTCAATAAAAATGTATTCAACATATTAATGTTTAGGAAGCCTCAAGGTATGTTCTCAGTAAGATATTGCATGTGCTGTGCTTGTCATGTCTGACTCTCTGGGACCCCATGGACTGTAGCCACCAGGCTCCTCTGTTCATAGGATTTCCAAGGCAAGATTACTGGGAGTAGGTCGTCATTTCCTCCTTCAGGGGACCCTCCCGACCCAGGGATCCAACCCTCAACTCTTGCATCTCTAGCATTGGCAGGCAGATTCTTTACCACTGTACTGCTTGGGAAACCCTGGTAAGATAAGGATATGACAACTAATTGGCTGGTGTTGTCATTCCTTAGGTAGAAGGGGAACAGATAGAGGAGGTGGGAGAATGCACTTACTGTTGCTATTTTCGATGTTAAGTTTCAGATGCCTCTGTGCCAGGTAAGTGGAGACAGTGAGTCAGCTGTAGGGTATTGTGGACAGTGTGCTTTAAATGCCAAGATAAAGGGTTTAAATTTCATGAAACTGGAGTGGGATATAGAAAAAAGACTAGAAAGAAGTGGACCAAGAGGACATATTCACAGAAGCAAAACAGACAAGCTGTGTAGAATTTTCTGAGGAATGGACGACCTGGGGAACTGATTACAGAGTTTAAATCTAAAGACTGATACAGGAGTATGGAGGAGGAGAGGGTTCAGAGGGGAGGGCATTTCAAGACAGAGTACAGGTCAAGTGCCCTCTTCCCTGTTTCTAATCAGATCCCATATCATGAACCTAACTGACGTTAGGAAACATAACAGACATTCCTTCACTCATGGAAGGAGTTGGGAGACCAGGCTGTTGGATGCTTTAGGTTCTTAACACCCGATCCTGCTGCTTAGCTGCAGAGAAATGTTAATGATTAATCAGGGGCAGCAGCACAGGCAGAAATTACTTCTCCTGTTTTTATTCATATTTATGAGAATCTGTACCTTATAATTTTGCCAGATATGAAATAGCCAGAGGCCTTAGTGACCAATCACTTAAATGTATATTTGAGCCAAATGAAAGCTTGAGAAATCCAGACTCTACAAAATGTTTCCTCAGAATATTTTTGCATACATTATCAGAAGAAATGGTTATAGGCAAATTTGTATAACTAAGTGCAAAGAATGCAATTTGGTAGGCTGAAAATCAGTACACAGGGTATTTTTTTTTTTTGGTATCCAAAATCCATAAATGACAAAGAAGTGATTTAGATAATGTAATTGTTAAATTATTGTAGCAGAACCCTTTTTGTTTCTTTTTCTAAAGTACTGAGAAGTGTATCTTCCTTTCCTCAAATTGAGAAATAATTGGAATGTAAAAACTGTGTAAGTTTAAGGTGTAATCTCTCAAAGCTAACTAACATTTTATTTCTTCTCATGCAGCATTTTAGATGTTAACCAGAGAAAAAACTAGTTCTGGCCAGGAAGGGATATGATTTAGAAACTAACATTTACATTGCATTTTTTATTTGAAAAGCCATTTAAGAACATAAATTAATCTTTACAACACTGTTGAAAAGTAGTTAATGATAAGAAGGATGATCACTACTCCCATATTACAGATGAGTAAAACTACACTGAATGTTTAGCGACCAAATTAAAATTATCACTCGTGTGGCAAAACATTTATGACTATCCCCATCTGATATTTCATGCTTCAAGTTTTTTTAATGCATAATCATCTCTTGGATGAATAATTGTATTGCTCTGAGGTCTTCAGTAGAAAAAATACTGAAGTAAAAAGACAAGGCACGTGGAGTTTGGTCAGTACACGATGGAATATCATCACCCTCTACTGCACACCCAGTGGTAGAGAAAACTTATACATCACTGACACACTTCATCACTTTCCATACAGGCATCATATTCAATTAAAGAGAGAACTTTCTGTCAACAAACCTGACATGCTCACCTAGGGAATGTCACAACCTCCCCCAAAATCAATATTCAAGTTATGACGGACTGACAGCTTCACAGATGAAGGAGTGTCCCTTGATTTTTACCTACTTTTGCTGCAGAACAAAGAAAAGTGTACAAAGCATGAATAAATAAACTTAATTAAGTTTAAGGGATATGGTTGAGCAATGTAAATCCAGAGCAAACAAAGTCATGGAGCATTAAAGAACAGCTTAATGAAATTCTGATCAACAGGAAAATAATGAAACGCTGCTCCAACTGATTCAATAAAGTTGGTTCTTGGTGATTTAGGAAGGCAAATGTTCACTCGTAAGTGTTTACTTTTGAGAAGTAATTTCCTACACCCTTTAGACTGATACATATCTTGAGAATTTCTATATTTTCTAATATATTTGATAAACTGCTGATCATTTTCCCTTTCTGCTTTGATCTATAAAATGATTCATAACAGGCTCCAGAAATTTAAAAAAAAAAAAAAAGGATTTAAAAACTTCAGTGGAAAAGCAGAAAGACTGGGTTATCAAAAAACACAAGTGGCCGGTCCCAGAAGTTTTGACAGATGTCATTCTCTGGGACAACTTTCCCTAGGTGGAAGGTATTTCTCATGATAGTGTTGGTTTCATCTATTTTTTTTTTTCTGCACTGTACTTTTTAATTGCACAGGTAGTTTTAAATAAGCAGAGAAAGCACCTTCCAAAAGTTACATTCGCAGGGAAAGATTCCATCAAGTATTTATATAACAAATTTCTATAATTTACAAAACATTCTTGATTGTTACTTGAACTGTACATGGGGGAAAAGGAGCCCCCTCTCGTAGGTGTTCTGCTTGCAGAAGGAAACCAAAGGACGTAAAATGGAGACAAGCCTGGAATGCTGAGAAAGGGAAAGAGAAATGATAAAGGGCCATTCACTAATTCCATGTCTAAGACACTGGTCCAGTGGCCCTTGTGTAAATACTTCAGGGAAAATTACCGCCCTTAAGATAAAGGTACACTCTTAGAAGCTGTAATTCTGATTATAGTAATGTATCTGCATACCCTGGACCTCTGAATATTAAAAGACCATACTTGGGGTGACCTATGAGTTTTGAACCAATACTTCTGCGGAATTGTCTAGGACCATACACCCTCTGCTCTGGCATTCTGGATGAAGCACAGGCCTCCGTGCTGTCCTTCAGGCTGTGTAACAGTCAAGAAAAGAACATCAATATTGGATCACTCTTTAGACACTCATCAGCCAGGGAAAGAGTTTCACCGGCAGAAGGGCCCTCCCAAGAATGGTCAGAGAGGACCGGTCGCTCAAGGGAGAAGGGGAACCCTCAGAGCTACAGTCACCACAAGCATCGGCGGGCAGGAAGACGGCTTCAGGCAGTGGACGATCGGAAGTGGATCTGAGATATCCAGCTCCGGAATGAAGTCATCTTCTACAAGTTCTTCCTTCACTGAGACGGTGAATTCAGGGTGATCTTTTTCTGAGGTGAAAGGTGCTTCCTCAATCTTCACTACCACACTGACTTGGCTCTCTATCTCAGAGGGTATCTCTAAGACTAGGTCCTTTGTACATACCTGGTCAAAGCGAATCAGTTCATTAATGGCTTCCAGCTTGGCTGAGGACATCCTCGGGGATGGACAAGAGGAGGTCGGTCAGGAATTGGGTCCTTCTGAGTCCGCCTCTGGGAGCTACTCCAGTCTGGCAGACTCTGGGGAAGGACATCTGAGGAACATGACCGGGCCCAAGTTGAAGGAAGTGTCAAACAGGATATCATACTCAGAGTCTGAAGGGTCAACACAGCGAGGATCCATGGGGAATGTTCTGGAGGGGTGACGACTGGTTCTGCAGCTGCTGTGGACTCACAAGAGGCGGCCACCGGCCCGGCTCCATTCCCCCTGTCTCTGCTTCCTCTTTAGTCATCCGTCCCCAGGAGCTGTCTTAACTTCTGGTTCTCAACTACAAACGAGGCCAGGAGTTTTCTCTTGTAAAAGCTCATTTTTCTAGCAGTTCCTGGTTTTCTTCTCCCAAATCTGCCACTTGTTTCAGCTCACTCATTCGAGCTTGCTTTCGGTCTCTGGCAGTCTGAGCTGCTACTAGTTCAGTTTCCCCGCAGCACCTTCTTTTCCGGGCTCAGGTGCGTGAGGCGCGGTTGCTCTCGCGCCTGGGGCGCCCTCCCAGCTCCGCACCCGCAGCCAGCGAACACCTCCTCCGTGCTGCGCCGTGCTGGCCCGGCACCATGACCCGCAGGGCCCGGCCGCGGGCCGGCAGGACTGCCCAGTACTTTGGATGCCTGGGCGGCCGGGCTCTGCGCGGCTACAACCACCACCACGGCCTAAGCGTTTCTGCCAAGTTCATCTAACTTAACCTCTTACCTGACCTGTTGTTCTATCTTCGGACTTTTCCCCTGTGACTCCAGTCTTTTCGGAGATGTCACATAGCCACTTCTTCGGGTGAAGATATCCATGAATTAAAAGGCAAAGGTTAAGGCATTCATGAAATAATTTAAATTATAAATGACGTCATTAATCTACAACTTAGTGCATGCTTTCACATGAATCAGATGGCCACGACCTTCTGAATAGGGTGAGTACAGAAAGTTTTACCGGGACAGAGAAAGGCGTGAACAAGTGAACTGTGACTCGTAATGTCCTGGAGGACGCCTTTTTTTTCTGTTCAGAAATTGTTGTGTCTCTAATTTTAGACTTTAAACATGACTTCATGAAAAAAACAGTGGAGAGAGAGAAATAGAGAAACACACAGGTCCACTTCTACAACTAAACACAATTCTATTTTGTATGAAAAAATAAACAATGAAACTTCTTCACATTCAACTACAAATATTACACCTTTTCTTCCTTGGATAATTTCACTTTTAAAAAGATACATACAGAATAACTAGTGATATTAATATATAAATTGGAAAATATAAAATCTAGAAAACCAGAGGAAAAAACTCAGATGTCCAGGATTCAGTTCCTCTAATATAATTCAAAGTCAGGAAGTTAAAAGGAAAAGAAGGCAGGGGCAAGTTGTCTAAATAATGCCACAAAACTTCATGGTGAATGACATGCATTTATCTAAAAATACTCTTGTTTTTCATTTTCATTTGGATATATTTCTATGAAGTTTGGTTAAGATTTTCCAAAATAATATCAGTTAGATACAGAATAATGGAGGGAAAAGCTTAATAGGGATATTGATTTTAAGGATTTTAATGATGATTCTATGCTACCAACAAAGACATGAATGCTCCCTCCATGTTTGTTCTATTATTTTTTCATTTTCTTCATTTTAATTCTTCAACAATGTGAAAGCTGTGCGCATGTAATATGGCAGGTACAGTGCTGGACCCTGAGATTTTACACTGCTATGACACGAGGGTAGGGCAGTTTCTTATGCTTCCCCCGTGGCACTGGTCATAGAGAACCTGCCTGCTAATGCCGGATATGTAAAGAGATGTGGATTTGATTCCTGGGTCAGGAGGATCTCCTGGAAAAGGACATGAAAACCCACTCCAGTATTCTTGCCTGGAGAATCCCTTGGACAGAAGAGCCTGGTGGATTATAGTTCATAGAATTGCAAAGAATCAGACACCACTGAAGCGACTTCACACACAGAGCAGTTTCCTTATAATTAAGGCAGATTTCTATTTTAAAATGCTGGAATGAATCTTTTTTTTTTATTTTGCAATTTCATTTATTAATAGCTTTGGGTATTTGGACACCTTACTTGACATTTTTGATGCTTAGTTCCTTATTCCACAAAATAAGGAAATAGAAAATTCTTAAGCACCTGATCGGTGCATGGCACATAATAATGTGACATATTATCATGTCGTTTATAATGTGACACATTAGTGTCATTTAGTATTAAAGGCAAAAATTTCAGCCATTCTGAAAATGTACCTACTTAAGCCCAGTTTACCTCCAATGTTTTTGCATACCTGTATTTTATTATTTTTATCTCCAGTTTATTTTTGTTTTCATTCCTCCTTGAGAGATATTTGAAATATATAAGGCATTCAGAAACTTAAAGTAGGAAGTTTGGTTTTAAAATTGACATAAGATCTGAATAGACATTTTTCAAAAAAAAAGACAAGTAGATTGTCAACAGGCATGAAAAAATGTTCAGCATCACCAGTTATTAGGGAAATGCAAAACAAAACCACAATGAGATTGTTACTGAGCTCAAGTTCTTGTGCCCAAGGCACAGTGAGGCCAAACATCAGAGTCTGGAGCAGAAAAAGGTTTGCAAGGAGATAGGTGGCTCATGGCTTAAAAACCCTGAACTCTCTGAAAACTTTCAGCAAAATCCTTTTATAGGAAAGTTGAGGGAGGAATGTGGTTAGGTGTTGCAAACTTCTTGGGGTCAGATCCTTTGTGCTTGAAGTGAGCTCACAGTCAGGTCATGCTAGTCCTGTAGACCTCCACCAAAACAAATGTTATTCTCCATCCTGACAAGAAATGGCAAGGTCCTCAGTCTTAACTTTCACCCTCTGAGGTCAGGCCCTGGCTAAGAGAAGGCGGTGCCTACTCCAGCCCGTTAACACTGCCCGGGAGTCTCACGGAGCATACAGTCCGGGTCCTCCCACTGGTGCATAGGCAGGGCTGAAGAGGCATATCTCTGCTGGTGATGCCCCCGTGGCCGGATCCCCAGACCCTGCCCAGCTGTCATCACTGGAGGAGCAAGGCATCCAGTTCCCACCAGTCCTCAGGCTCCTGAGGCCCCAAACAGGCCCGAGCCTATGGACCACAGCTCATGGAGACCGCTGTGGCCATTAGGTTGTGGAGGCAGAGATGGGGGAGAGGTTTACTGCTGCTTCAAGGCCTGGACCAGGCTGACTGGTTGCCATGGAGTGGGTTCTAGAGCCCTGCAGGACACAGCCCTCAGCCTGTCCCTGCCCTGGCCTTCTCCAGCTCACCCGTAGGCCCAAGGCTGGAGGGCATGCAGGGCCCAGGCGAGAAGACTGCAATCCACCTTTCATCTCACTCTCTGCAGCCAGCACCATTGCCTGGCTGACTGCTTGGAGGAAGTTCTGTGACCACTATGCTTAGGATCTCATGCTAATGGCCTAGTGCAGCCCTTATTACAATACAACCCCTCCCTTTTCCTGTAGGACAAAAACAGAAGTATAAAGTTCAACACTTTCTTCAAGTTTCTCACAACCATTATAAAAAACAGTATAAACAATCCTCAAAAAATTAAAGATAGAACTAAGATATGGTCCAACTATTTCACTTCTGGATATTTATGTGACAAGCATGAAACACTAATTTGAAAGATATATGAACTGTTATGTTCATTGCAACATTGAGTACAATAGTCAAGATATGCGAACAACCTAAGGGTCCTTTGATGGAAGAATGGGTAAGGAAAATACACATACATATGTATATGTGTATCTATCTATCTATATATATATAGGAATATTGCTCAGCTATAAAAAAGAATGAAGTCCTGTCATTTGTAGCAACACGAATGAACACTGAAGGTATTATGTTAACTGAAATAAGTCATACTGAGAAAAATGTCATATTATTTCACTCATATGTAGAATATAATAAAGCAAAGCAAATTCATAGATACAGGAAATGGAGTAGTGTTTACCAGAGAGAAAGTGGGTTGGGGGTAGGTAAAAGGCATGAAGGAGCTCAACTGTATGGTGATGAATGATAACCAGACTTATAGCAGTGATCATTTTGTAGCATACACAGTTGTCAAATTATAATGCTGTACACTTAAAATTTACATAATTAAAAGAGTAAAAAGGTAAGTAGGGAGTTAAGTTATAGATTGAAGTTGTGTTTTAGATGCTTGAGTATCTGGGCAATTGAACCTGTTTTCTATAAGTGAAGAATTCATTGTATTGTTTTTCATATTCTATATTTTTATTACCTTTGGAAATAACCCATGTATTTAAAATTTCCAGCTTTTTGTGAAAATGTTAGCTGTTTACTCCAACTCTGTTTTTTTTTTTAACTTAGAAAAGAAAGCAGCAACAAATGCATCAACTTCCACCATAAAAAATTGATTTGGGTTCATTATGATACATATTGTTGCTTCTAGAATCATTACATTCACTCACTAATTCCCAGAAGCAGACTTTCCTACCTTTTTAGAAACACAATAAGCCATCTACAATGTCACCCAGGGCATAATTGTAATTATAGCTAAAAGAATTTATGGCTTCAAACCAGTTAGATATATTTGAAGATAAACACAAGCATAAACGTGGCTCAGCATTAGCACAATGCCATCTCATGAGTGCTGCCAAACATCTGTGTTGGAAAGAAAGAAGCGAATGCAGAAGCAGACTCTGTTTTCTCCATCTCTGCACGTGTGTTCTGAGATGACACACAAGGGTGTATGTGAACAAATAATGAGAGAATGTTGTGATCAGCAAGACTCATTACTTGTCTCATGTGAATTTATGTTGGTAATTTTGTTGTCAATTTTTTTTCTCACTAATTCTGTGATCCTGAACAGAAAGCAAAGTCAAATCAGAGTTAAAGATAGTAATATTAGTTCATTTATAGATCTTTGAGTGAACTTCTCGGGCTGTTTATAGTTACAGTTCTTCGAAATAGGGAAAGGTTGCTATCAATCAGATTGGGAATGGAGCCCACTTCTTTGTTACCTCCAGCTACATAACATAATGGCTCCACATATCTTCTCCTGTTGGCACTGTTTTATATACCATGGATTCCAGCTATACATAGTTTTGCACTTAAGGGAAAGTGAAGTTGCTCAGTTGTGTCTGACTCTTTGTGACCCCATGGACTGTAGCCTACCAGGCTCTTCCGTCCATGGGATTTTCCAGGCAAGAGTACTGGAGTGGGTTGCCATTTCCTTCTCCAGGAGATCTTCCCGAGCCAGGGATTGAACCCGGGTCTCCCGCATTGCAGGCAGATGCTTTACCGTCTGAGCCTAAGTGCTCCACAAATATATGCTGCTCATGTGATGAGGAGAATGAGTTTATTCACTATGTCACACTCCTAAGATTGAGGTGAATCAATTTGAGTATAATGACCTTGGTTAAAGCAAACACTCACCTTTATTATATAATAAACTATACTAAATGCTAGGATATACTGAGGAGAAAAAAAGCAACATAATTCTTGTTGGATGCAGGGCAAAATCTTGTGGGAAAGAAAATATTAATTATATAATGAGTGATGGCTAAGAAATAAGAGGTGTCAGCGCTAGTTACTGGCAAATAGGAGCATGAAGAAGAGCAGTTTATGCCGACGTTTCAGCCCTTGAGATGGTCTTGTGATGAAAGGATTATAGAAGGATTGCAAGACATCAGTAGGGAAAGTGGAGTGGTCTATGGCTTAAAATGAGACTGGGGAAATGGAAACACAACTTTTGTTACTATTTTGTTGTGAGAGCAACAGGAAAATATGAGGGGCATGTCACTGTGGCTTTGGGGTATAAAGAATTGATTAGAAGGAGTCAACTCTAGACATAAATGAACAGTGTAGTGGGGAATTGAGCCCCACCCAAAGAGAAGTCTGACTTTTGACCCTGGCTCCTGTCAGGTAACCTTTAAACCCCAGAATTTGTTGAGTGTTAGGAGTCTTTGTCTAGTAGCAGGTCCCAGGTATGAGTAAGATGAATCCAAATAATGGTGAAAGTTTAGTCCTTCTTCTAACAACATATTGTACAGATTTTAGTATTTTAAATTGTTAATCAGATGAAGATTACATAGGCTATATTGTTCATACTGTTTAATGCATGTTTCTGGAGTCTCACAGACACATGCTTCTCCGGACTCATAATACTCTCTTTATTGCATACTCCGCTAATACATATCTTTCTGAGCTTATTGTGAAAAATTATGAGGCCTCAGATGTCTAATGTAAATACCAAATGATGTTTAAAACTGTCTTTATCCTTATTTTTGAAGTAGATTTCTAATGAGAAAACACTGCCGTGACATACCTTGCTTCTTTAAATTAGTATGCTTCGTGTGAAAATAAGGGAGCGATTGTCATTTTACCAGAGATGTTAAGTATTGTTTGATCATCTAAAGGACTATTCTAAGAAGGAAATATCTATCTTACATTATTTTGGGAGTCTGGTAACTTAACAGCTTAAAAGTATTATATGCTCTGCAGAAATGGAGGTGTATATACTCAGAAAATCTTAGGAACATGGAAATGAGACTATTTTGAACTTGCTTAGGTTATTTAGACTGTTCTAAGGCAAACCTTCCTATAAGATGAAAATAATGTGACATTGTCATTAAATCAAAGACTTATATTTAACCCCTGTGAATTTGCCAGGAAGAGTGAGAGAATGATAGTCACTGTATAAGATTTTTTGAAGACAGGAATCTCTCTTGTTTTTTGAGTACACAACATGATCTCCACCTGCACAAGCTGGCAAACAACTGGTGTCAGGGGATTGACTCATTATATGAAAATAAACCTAATCCATTTAGGCTAGCTTGTACTTTATGGGACACAATATTAGTATATTAATGTTCATCAGTAGAAGAGGGGGAAATCTCAAAGCAGATATGTCAAGTTCAACCTTTGAAAGTATTGGCAAACACAGTCAACAACTCTGCCTCTCCATATGCAAAAGCATTCAGTAAGCTGAAAAGCTTAAACCAACGTTAGTTGATGTTACTTAAAGACTAGAATGTCACCAGCATCACAAACTGCTCATAGATATTTTATGGTGTAATTTTAAAGTCAGCATTCTAACCTAATACTTTCATCTAGTAGATGAGCAAGCAGGCCCAGAGAGCTTATGGGACTTCTTAAAAGAAGTTCACACTGGAAGTCAATAGGAAGTGTGATTAGAACCTTATATGGGCACTACTTTTACATTATCACTAACATTGACTTTTTTGAAATAGTTTTTGAACTAAATCTCTTACTATAAAAATTTGCCCGAATTTGAGATTTCCCAGCTTGTTTGCATATCCACAATGACAGTGACGAAAGTGCCGATGCTATTTTGCAGCCAAACCATTGTAATAGGGGCGGGGCAGGCACACAGCCATTGGCGCGTGACGGTCAGCTTGAGACCCTGAGAGCAGGGGTGAGAGGCCTGGCGGGCCAGCAGTCCGCAGGCCCGTGATCCTCGCGGCAGAGAGTGCAGGAAGAGACAGATCACAGCCTTCTCCGTGGGGCCTTCCAGACCCTGTGGCCTCCGGGATGTCAGTGAGCGGGGAGGCCGGCTGACAGGCTGAGGGTTGAGTCCCACAGAGTTCCAGACCCCTCGCTGTGGCTGCCGACTGGCCAGGCCTTAAAGCAGCAGTAAATCTGCCCCAACACCGCCTCCACGTGGGCTGCGGTCTGTGGAGGCCTCAGCAACTGGAGTATACGGACGCTGCCTTTAAGGTAATATCTTCAGCCAGCTCCAGTTTCTCCGTTCTAATTTCAAAAGTTGGTTCAGCTGAAATCAGTTGTCTCCTCCTAGAAGGTGGCCTGAGGTCAGGGTTAAGTTGTAAACACGTTGCACATCAGTGCTTCGGGTCAAACCAGAAGTGCAATTGCTGTAAGCTGGGAATGAACCTGATTGGTATTTGCTACAACACGTAGTTCCAGTGATCTTACACAAATGAATTGCTCCAGGTTAAATGAAAAGCCTGAGGGCGGGCTGGGTCCTAGGTGCCCTGCTCCCTTAGTGATCATGGCTGGGCAGGGTCTGGGGACCTGGCCTCGAAGCCGCTACCAGCTGAGATCTGCCTCCTCAGCCAGGCCTGGGCACTGGTGGGAGAAACTAGGCTGGTGCTGGACTAACATTCCCTGGCTGGATAGCTAGCTTACACAGGGACTCTCTTCTCAGCCAGGACCTGGAACTCACGGATCAAATGTTGAGATTTGGGACCTTGCTCTCTCTTGTAAGAAAATAAAATTTGTTTTGGTGGAGGTTTATGGGAATGTGACCTGACTATGTCACTGACCTCAGGGACAAAGGATCTGACACTAGGAAGTTTGCAACAACTATACCTCTCACCCAGCTTTCCTATAAAAGGGTCTTGCTGAAAGC